CTCCCATGCCCCCCCCTCCGCCCCTTACAATAAACAGCAGCCCAGAGCCCGCCGTACCTGCAGTGAGTCTGCCGTGTGGCTGGTGGGCAGCCCGCTCTTGCCGTAGCCTTGGCCGTGGGCTGTGAGGAGGCGCCCGCACAGGTCCACGGCCGCCCTCCAGTTTCTGCTGCTCTGAAAGGCACAGCAAGACGGCCCTCGAGCACCGGCCACATGCTGGACGCAGGGCATGGCCAGGGAGCCCGCCCGGCAGAGGCCACCGGGAGAACCTGTGGAAAGTTGGCCACAGGCCCTGCCCCCCTCCACCTGCCCTCCCTCCAAGACAGCCATCTGTGCGCTCCTCCTGCTTAACCTTCCAGGTAGAAATCAGTGGCCTGTGGGAGCTGTGTGGGAGCTGAGGGTGTATCTGTGAGGCCTGCATGTGTTGTGAGCTCTGTATGTTTACACCAATTACTAACATGAACTACGCTGCTGCGACACACCACAGGCCAGTCTGCCAACACAACACATGTCCCTGCTATTTCCTGCTGAGATGTGGACCCCGGACACCGTGCAGCACAAGCCTTCCCTACTGAGTGAAGACAGGACGTTTAAAAAAATAACAGTTATTTCTCTCCAACATGATACTCGAGGAAGCTTATTTAACCCAAGTACACTCTGCTTCAAGCACTCTGCTCATTTAAAATAATGGCTTTTACACTAATTGGACTGAAAATTGAAAGCGTGTTGATAGGATGCTCTCTGCTAACCAGGACTGGTGTCTACTCTAACAAGGTTTTATTTCTGTGCAGGCTCTGGTGATATATGCCAGGCAATGAGCTCCCAGGAGAACACTGTGGAGGCAGACAGACACAGAGACACAGAGACACACACACACACGCACGCACACGCACACACGACTGGCCGCCCAGCGCCCGCTCCTCACAATGAGCTGCCTCAGGCCGACGAAGGACTGCTCCACGGCGCTGGCGTCCGCCACCTGCCTGCGCGCCGCCGCCTTCTCGCCCACGAAGCGCAGCAGCAGGTCCTTGATGGCGTCGCCCTGGAGGATGCGCGAGGTCAGGGCAGGGCGGCTGCAGCACTAACTCGGCCGCCGACCAGCACCCGAATGACCCCTGCCTGGCGGAGGATCGCCTACCTGGATGTTGTCGAACTTGAGGCCGGGCATGGTGAGGCTCTCCTTGTCCACGAACACGGTGCTGTACTGCTGCGTGGCCACGGACACCAGGACGTCCCGGGTCGCCGGGCTGGGCAGCCAGGCGTCGCTCCGGCGGTCCATCTCGCTCATGCTCAGGGCGGTGGCGAAGGGGTCCTCGCTCCCGGCGAACACGGCCTGGATCTGGGAGAAGGGCTGGGGGGACTGCGGCATCTCCAGCGGAGCCGCGGGGACTGCCGGCTCGGCGCGCTCCGTCCCCGGGGAGGCGAGTGGCGACAGCGGCCCGGGGACCCCGGTGCCGGCGTGGGGGTTACTGACGGAGATGAACGTGGAGGTGGTGAAGGAGTCAAAGAAGTCCGAGGCCAGGGAGCTGGTGCTGGCGGTTTCCCCGAAGAAGGTGCTCAGGCTGGGGCTGGGCTGCACCGCGGGCGGGGGCGTCCGGGGGGCCGGCTGGCTGGGGCCGCTGAAACTGGGCGACTTCACCATCTGGGACTCGAACCCGTCCTGCAGGAAGGGGCTGGGCTGGGCGGCCACGGCCGGGGCCTGGCTGAAGATGGTGCACACGGGCACCGGCTCGTCCTTGGGAGGGGGCGAGCCCTGGGGCCGGGGGCCCGGCTCCCCCTCGTCTGCATGCTCACAGGCGGGCAAGCCTTTCCCTTCTGGCTCCACGACTCCCTGCAAGCCCGCCCCGGTGCCAGGAGTCCCTTCCGAGCCGTCCTGAGGCGCTTTGTCTCCGTCACTCTCACTGTCGGGACTGGGAGTGTCCTCGGGGCCCGTGGCCGGGACACTGTCCTGGCTGCGGCCATCGCTGCCCCCCGCAGGCTCCCGGACCTCCTGCGCCCCGCCCAGGTCGCCGGTGTCGTCTTCGCTGTTGTTCGGAGAATCCGAGATCAGGACGCTCTCCATCATGTGCTCGCTGAGCTTGTCTGCGAAGTTATTGGAATCATCCGAGACGGTCTCGTTCTCCTCGGACCCGAACTCGTCGCCCCCGAGATCGATGGTTTCCTCCTGGAAGAGCAGCCCGGGTTCCCGCTGGGGTGCCTCCGTGGCGGTGCTTTCTGCTCCCCCCTCGGCCAGCCGGGGCTCCGCCGTCAGGCTCTGCTCAGCGCCCGGAGTGTCCTCCATGGTCCCTGAAACAGATACACCAACCTCAGCAGCTTTCCACCCAGTCACTGTTAAGCTCATGTCATCCTTTTTCTTTCTTCTTTTTAAATACATCTTATTGATGTCAGAGAGGAGGGGAGAGGAAGAGAGAATAATTGACCGCTCCTACATGCCCTACACTAGGTTCAAGTCCACAACCTGGGCATGTGCCCTGACCGGGAATCGAACCCTGACCTCCTGGGTCATATAGGTCAATGCTCAGCCACTGAGCCATGCTGGCCCGGCTACTTTAAGCCCTTGGAAAGCACAACAGGCAGAGCAACCCCTACTGCCCTACGTGTCTATCTCACATCGATGTTTCTCTCGTTCTTTCCCCCTCTTCCACTCTGTAAAAACGCAAAAATAAAGTGTGTGTGCTGGGCCACAGACAATATACTTCTTCACCTTCGCAGGTAGGTCACATCGCTTTCCTGGGTGGTGTGCCAATTCGCACACGGAGCAGCAGATAGGCTTTCCTGTTCAACCCATTCATCTCCCCTCGGCATCTCAGACTTCCGACTCAGTTCAACACCCTGGAGTCAGTAACAGCACATCCTTCTCACCCCCCAGGGGCCCAGCTGAGATGATACAGCCCCAAACAAGCAGGAGTGAAATATTTGAACCCGGAAGATAGGGCGCCTTCCAGTGGCCACAGAAAGGCGGAATCTGTGGTCCAGGGTTTCCAGTCTGGACTGGGCGCGGTGGACACCTCTGTCCAGGCCGCTGCCGCCATCACCGCCGTTACCGGGACCCGAAGGCTCTCCCACATCCTCCTTTCTCCTCCAGGCGCTGGGCCGGGCAGCAAAGTGGGAGCGAGATGGGTTCCCGGGCCTGGGAGGCCGGAGCAGACCCGGATGCCCTGCCTGCTCCCCGGTTCTCCCCCTGCCTGCTCCCCCGTTCTCCCCCTGCCTGCCCCCCGGTTCTCCCCCCGCCTGCTCCCCGGTTCTCCCCCCGCCTGCCCCCCGGTTCTCCCCCCGCCTGCTCCCCGGTTCTCCCCCCCGCCTGCTCCCCGGTTCTCCCCCCGCCTGCCCCCCGGTTCTCCCCCCGCCTGCTCCCCGGTTCTCCCCCCGCCGGCCCCCCGGTTCTCCCCCAGCCTGCTCCCCGGTTCTCCCCCCGCCTGCCCCCCGGTTCTCCCCCTGCCTGCTCCCCGGACCCCATTCCTACTCCCCGACCCTTCGCCTGTGCCGACGCCTCCCGCCACGACGCGCCCAAGTCCGGGAGGCAGACCGGCCTGCGGAGCCCGCGGAGGACCGGGGAGCTCGGGACCGCCCGACCGTCCCTGCAGCCCGGGGTCCTCACCACCGCCCGCCGGTCCGGGCAGGGTCCAGGGGCCGCGGCCTCGGTGAGGAGGCGGAGGAAGCAGGAGGGGGCGTGGCCACGGCGGCGCCCGCGCGCATGCCCAGGGCAACCTCCTCCCCGCCCTCCCAACGGTCGCTGCCGGAAGCGCATTGAGCTTCCGGTTCATGCACCGGGGGGCGGGGCCCGGAGATGTGAAGGAGGCGGGGCAATGGGGCGGGGCCTGAGCCTGGTGGGTGAACACGGGCGGGGAGTGGGCGGGGCCTGGCCCGGGGGTGTGACCCGGGCGGGGAGTGGGCGGGGCGAGCTGCCCAGAGTTGGGGTCTGCAGCGGAAGTTATCCTAAACCTGGCCGGCTACAGGCAAACCTGCAGCCCGGGCGCAGCTGGAAGGTACAGTTAGGCTTTTTTCATTGGGGCCAAAGCACCCTAGGAGCTATGAACGAAAGGAGCCACATGCTAACCTGACAAGCTCAGGGGAGGCCCGCGTGGCAGTCTTGCAAACTCAGAGACCTAAAGGAACCACAAAAGATGGTTTGAAAATTAAAAATTTAAACTACAAACAGGTTATAGTGGGTAGTCAAGTCCTAGGCCGATATTTTTTTCCCTGACAAAGATCAACTTAGATCTTTACTGTGCCCATTTGCCTTTTTGCCTCTAAGAAAGCATATCTGTGAGATGTCTGGTACCCAGATTCCTTCACCAGTAAATATCCATCTTGCCTTAACTTCACCAGGTGCATTCGTTAGGTGCTGAAATACAGCCGACCCAAACACCAAACCAGACCCCGCCGTTTCTTCTTTTTCTTCCTTTAGGTCTCCCACTCATCCTAGCTGCCTGGCATATCCTAGCTGCCCCACGAATCGAATCCTAGCTCCCCATCTTCGGTAAATGGAAGCATGAATGGAAGTTTGATTCTTTAGTGTTAAGGTTGGAGCCAAGGAGTTCATGGCAGTGGATGGAAAGCATTTGTCCTCCCGTGAGAAAGTACTAATGACAACAAAGGACAGTGCCGCTGCCCCAGATGCTGGATTCTGGCTTGATGGAGCCTGGGCTTCCCGCAGGAGCTCTCTGGCGGCCCCTAGTGGCGAGGTGGGGGTAGCACCGTCCAGGCGAGGCCCCTCCCCCAGCTGACGCCCCTCCCACAAACCCGCCTCGTGGGGCCAGCGGAGAGGCAGAGCCCAGATGGTTTCCGATGCGCATGCGCACCAGCCGCGTACTGCCGCCATTGGCTGCCGGCGAGGAGCGAATCGATGACGCGACAGGACAACACAGGAAGTGAGCCTACGGGGGCCGCGGCGGGCCAGAAAGCATCCGGTTTCGGCGCGGGCCGCGCAGCACGGAGCCTGTTCGCGCGGCGCAGGGGGCGCGCCGGCTCTGGGACCCGCTGAGGCGCGGGGAGGCGGCAGCATGGAGGACGACGCGCCGGTCATCTACGGGCTGGAGTTCCAGGTGGGTCCCCGGCCCCGGGTCCGGTTTGTGGAGCGCGGCCGGCACGGTCCCGCCTCCCTGTCTGCACGGGCCGGGAGGCTGGGGGCGGAGGAGCTGGCCGTCCGGGGGCCGGCGGGAAGCGCGCCCGCCCGCCGCCTCCCTCCTCCTCCCCGGCGGCCCCGCGGGCGCCGGCTCCGGGGCGGGAGCTCCGGCTTCTCCGGTCGCTGAGGGCTGACAGCGACGCCTCCTGAGCCGGAAGAGTGCTCGCGGCCCCGCACCAGCTCCGAGTGCGGCTGACAGCCCGCGGGACCGGCGCACTGGTCAGAGCCCGGAGGAGCTGGGCACAGCCTGGGACCCGAACACAGGCTGCTCTCCCACTGATGTCTCCCCAAAGGGTTCCCATCATCCCGTGTCTCCCCCCCTCAAAGGGTTCCCATCATCCCGTGTCTCCCCCCCCAAAGGGTTCCCATCATCCCGTGTCCCCCCAAAGGGATCACATCCTCCTGTGTCCCCCCCAAAGGGATCCCATCCTCCTGTTTGCCTGGTTCATGGTAGACAAAAAACCATTGGGCCACACAGGCTGGGCCGTTTGTATTTGTTAATCCTCACCCAAGGATATTTTTTTTCATTCACTTTTAGAGAGAGTGGAAGGGAGGACGGGATGGGGTAGAGAGAGGAACCTCGTAGTGAGGGAGTTTCTTGTACTCAGTTCAGACTCCGGTGCCGGTTTTGGTGCCTCTTGCGACGGAGAAGACCTGATGGCACATTCCCATGGTTCTTCCCTGCTGCGCTCTTGGCTCAGCATCTCCCTCGCTCTCTGGTCTGGTTCACTAAGGGGTGATGGCAGGAGAGAAGACAGGGACCAAGAGGCCATGGCTTTCCTTTGGAAAGCTGGGCGAGACACATCCTCTGTAATAGAAGCCTAATAGCTAAGTGTCTGGTCGGCTTGTTAACCTTCAACCAATCAAAGCATAATATGCTAATGAGGTGCCGAGGCTGCGCACCTGCTTGCTATGACGTGCACTGACCACCAGGGGGCAGATGCTCTAACTGGTATGTTAGCTTGCTGCTGGGGTCCAGCAGATTGGGACTGAGCAAGACCAGCCGGACACGCCCTGGAGCCCTCCTGCGGTCCCTCCCCAGCTGGCTAACCTCCCACATCCCTCCCAGGCTCTGATAGTGCACCGGTGGGGTCCCTCAGCCTGGCCTGCGCCCTCTCAATCTGGGACACCTGGGGGGGATGTTGAAGAGCCAGTTTTGGCCTGATCGCAGCAGGACTGGTCGCTATGACACTCACTGACCACCAGGGGGCGGATGCTCAATGCAGGAGCTTCCCCCTGGTGGTCAGTGCGCTCTCACAGGGCCAGTACGGCTCAGCCAGAAGCCGGGCCCATGGCTGGAGGGGCAGCAAGAGTGGCGCCTCTGCAGAGGCCTCGGTTTACCACGCCTGCTCTGCCGTGCGGGAGTCACTGTCTGCCGTTCTGTTGAAGAAAAATGAGTTCAACCCATCTATTGCCGGGGTTCTTTTCCCCAGCCTTACAAAGGGCTCAGCATTCGGGAGAAAGGGCTGCGTGTCCGTGGAGGAGAGATAGTTTTGAAAGGAGGAGCTTCAGCTGAGGGAGCTAGCAGGCTCTCCTTGTCTCAGGACCACGTGCTTTTATTAAACACGATTTGTCGCAAGGCGAGGTGGAGACATACACGCCAAAGGGTACGTATCAAAGGATAGAACACAAACATTGTCAGATTGGGGGACAGCCTGCAGCTGTTCAGGTGTTCGGCCAACAGGAGGCAGTAAAGTGCCCTGAGCTGCCTGGCAGCTAACAGTCCTATTCAGGTTTGGGGGAAGTGCCTGTTAGCCGTTCCAACAGGCAAAAACATGTGACTCCACCCTGTTGACTCCCCACGCTTCACCAACCGTTTGGTAAAACTCCTGCAGTGATGGCATGCTGGGATTGGTTCTGGGCAGTCTATCACTGTTGACAATCGTGGCTTTATTGAAACACACTTTGCTGAATGTTTGTACCCACCTACAGTCGCTTCCATGTACACATCCGGAGCGGGAGGCGGTGGCCGCGTGTCCGTGACCGGTGAAGTCCAGGGCGGTAACGATGTGAACTTCCTTCTCCCGCAGGCACGGGCGCTGACCCCGCAGACGGCAGAGACAGATGCCATCCGGTTTCTGGTTGGGACGCAGTCTCTGAAGTACGACAATCAGGTAACTGTTTCTGACAAGCGCCTCCCTTGTCATGGCTAACGCTAGTCTTACTTTGGGACCGTTTTGCTCTTGACTTTTCAAGCAACATTTGAGGAAATGAATGCCACACGCACAGAAGAACACTTCCACTGGGATTTCACCACCCAGCTGTAGGCACTGGTTGTGTTCGGTAACTTAAACGTATCCGTGGGCCCTGCCTGGTCCTTCTTGTGGCTGCGTGGGACTGACTGTGTAGGTGACTGGGAAGCAGCGGGGATCAGTGGTCAGCATCAGCCCTTCTGGCCAGTGACGCCCTCTCATTGCTCAGAGCACGCTCTCCACTGCGCCCGGAGGAGGCCACAGGCCCGTTGGCCCCAGGGGCACGCAGGAGGGCCCGTTGGCTGCACGGCCACTTTGAAGAAAGCATGCTGGATACTCAGGAGGTCAGGGGTCAGTTCCTGGCCTGGCACTGACTGTGACCTTGAGCAGTGGACTAACCTTGCTGGACTTCATCTCCTCAATGCACATGGAGGCGAGGCTGTGGGTGGTCGGCACCTCGCAGGGCCATGATGTGAGGATGAGCACTGTCCTTGGCGGGGAAATGCCACGCACACGGGCCATGTCTGACTGCAGGGCCTTGCCCACTATCACCGTCACACGGGGAACGGCGCCCAGCTGTCCAGAGTTTTGCGTTCAGCCTCATTTTAGGGTCAGACGTACTGACTGTTGGGAACCTCTCCCACGCCCTCCAGCAGGCGGCGCTACTGCTTTGCCGGCAGGACCACTGCCCCTGTCTCGGTCCCTGGGTGTCCTCACTGAGCTCTAACTCAGTCTGTGGCTCCGGCTTCGGGTGGTGTGAAGGACGGTCTCATGACTTCCTTCCCACCTGCCGCTATACGGGTGTTTGTACACAGGTTCCAAGGACAGGTCTGGAGTGTCCCATGCTGCTTTGGGGAGGTGCTCGGCATTGCTGGGACGGGCATGCCTGGTTCGCTCGGCAAGCGCTTACTAGGGTGCTCACAGGCCTCGGTCCCCTCGCTGTGGGCGTGCCGGCCCACGGAACACAGCTGATGCGTCCTGCTCAGGGCGCTCTCAGTAAGAGGACGGTAGGGCGTGTGGACGCTGAGTGGCCGTGGTGACAGGCGGGTGCAAGGTGGCATGGACCCAGGTGCAGCGCCCTCTGTCTGCTGGCGTTGGAGCTGCACCACGGGGAAGGTGGCTGTTTCGCCGAGCCTCAGGCTGGGATGGCATGTGTCCACTTGCTGTGGGCCTGTGTCCTCCATGCTGGGTGGGCTCCTTGCCAGGACGGAGCCTGGCCGGGAGCAGGGAGGGGCCCACACACGCCTGCTCTGCTGGAAACAGCCTTCACACCTCGCACAACAACAACATGGCATCCCTCTCAAGGAGACATGTGTGTTTCCCCATGTGAAACATGGGCTCCTATCACACATGACTCTCACATGACACATCCAGTGCACACACAACACACGTGCTTCTCACATGTGGCCCATGCTTCCTCCCACAAGCAGCATGCATGTTTCCTTTGTGGATGGCCTGTGTTGTTCTCATATGTGATTCTTCCTCTCCCATGTGACGTGTGTTTTCTGCCACACGAGATGTGTGTGTGCAGTAACGAGACCTGTGCTGGCGGTAACGGCCCTGCAGGCAGAAGAGGAGACGCGTGGTGAGCACAGCCCTCGCAGCCCTGCTTCTCTCTGCAGAGGGGCCGTGCGTGCTTGTGCAGCCACGTCACGTGCTTGTCCAGTGCGTGATGACGGAGACTGTCACCAGGCCTGTCTCCTGCACCCTCCCCGGGCTGTGTCCTCTGTGAGGGCTGGAGCTGCACTGCTCCTGGGTGGCCACCGGAGCCTCTCTGTCCTCCAGCAGCTGGTGTTGAGGATGCGTTGGGGGGGCACCTGGAGCGGGCACAGCTAGGTGCTGATGGGGGGGGCATGGCCGAGTGCTAGTGGGGGGGCACAGCCGGGTGCTGGTGGGGGGGCACGGCCGGGTGCTGGCCCGGGGGCCCTGTTGGCAGGCCAGAAGGTAAACACAGGCTCCCAGGACACAGGTGAGAGCTGAAAGTAGCTGCAGGAGCCTCTGATCCTGGAGTCAAGTTCAAGGTTGGGGCCGGTTCAGGCCATTCCCACACCTGCTACCTCAGGGGACAGAACTGGTGATGTTGACCCCATTTCCAATCAGATGAGGACGTTGGCCCTGGGCAGTCACGTGGTTTTCTGAGGTGACCCAGCGCGGATGAGGCAGGCCTATGGCTAAGACCTCCCCCCCCAGCTTGCACTTATGAAGCACATGCCCCGAGCGGGTGTGTCTGAACACTCGCTGTGCTGTCTGTGCAGCCCCACAGACGGTGCGGGAGTTCCTGTCCCGTCAGACAGCTGGCCCAGGCCCAGGCTCTCCGCGCCAGGTGGTGACAGCTCAGGTCCGGCTGTGCTGCGGGAGCTGTGACAATGGATCTCAGCTCCTCTGCTTGCTCTGATGCCTGCCCCCTCCCCCCCTGCGCTGGACTGAAGCCCCCGGCTGTGCCTCAGGCCTCAGCTCCTCCCGCAGCCATCAGGCTGGGCTGCAGGCTGGGAGATGAGGAGCTGTCTCAGGGCCGGCCCTCCTGTCGCAGGAAGCGCTTTGTGCCCTTGGTTTGCACAGGGCTCCCGGTGGCAGGAGGAGCCCCTCTGAGTCTGTCTGGGTTCTCCTCGGTGAGGCGGGGTGAGGTGGTTGTGGGGGCAGGTTGGCAGAGGCCAGGTCCAGGGGTTTCCGGGGGGAGGGGTTGGCCTCTGCCCTGTACTTTCCCACGGGTTTCACCGCACAATGCAAACCCCTTTCCTACGTGGTGGGGGAGGAGTGCCGAGCTGGCTGGGAGGAGGCTGGGACGTGCCCTCCACGCAGCCCTGACCAGGAGCCCGGGCGACGGCCCTCCGGGGAGGACAGCACAGCTGGCTCCCGCCCAACGCTCTCCTGTAATTTTTCTCTCTAATGTGTGAGCTCCAGGGTCCTGTGTTTGCATTTTGATTAAGGACAGCTTTGTTGCCCCTCTGCCGGCAGGTTCTGTCCTTGGCCACCCTTGTGGGGAATCAGATTCCGGGGCCCCAGGCCAGGCTAACTGACCCTCCATTTCTCTCCTCTTCCCCTGACCTCCCCTGCCCCTTCCCCCCATCCCATTAACGAGACAGGAATGTATTGCCCTGTGTCCTGGAAGCATCTCGAGGAAGCTGTTTTGGGCGAGGCTGGACCAGGGCTCAGTGTGCAGCTGAGACGCCGTGGCACTCGTGCCTGTATTTTTCTGGAGGCCTGCTGAGGGCCCTCAATTCTCTCCGTCCCTCACGCTCAGGGGCCAAGACGCACGGCCCGAGACTGTCGGGTTGGCCCGGACGGACTGCACCGCTTCTGTCCGAGAACCCCCTTGCTGGGCGCTGCGGTTGGAGGGGGTCTTTCCCGGCTGCTGAGCACATCCTGGATCATGGACGGATGTGGGCGTGCGGGCCTCGTTTGCTCACGCGGAGTATGGTCCCGACGGGTGGATTGTAGCCGTGCTGTGGCACGGCCAGGGGTTTGGTCACATGTAACTGTCACTTACCATTAAAGGCTCACTGAAGGATCGGGCATGTGTCCCAGGGATCTTAGAGCTCAGGCCCCACATTTCCAAATGCTGGAGCCCAGATGGTGGCTCGCCCAACGACACTCAACCAGGAAGTGGCGGAATGAGAGCCTGTGGCGCGGAGCAGCCCGCCTGCTGTGGGCGGAGTGAGGGGCTGGCACTGGCCGCTTGCCGCCTGCCTGTTACGTCTTCTCCTTAAGGAAAAGCTGTTTTTGTTATGAACGACAAGGCAGGGCGCATTAATGGCGAGGCCAAGGCTGGGGGGGAGGAAAGGGGGCACCTGTTGTGGGGGTGAGCCCAGCCTTCCAGCCAGGCCGTTCCGCTGACCCTGGGAGGGCTGTGCTCCGGGGCAGGAAGTGTCTTGCTCAGAGGTGGTCCTTACCTTTTCCTAAGGGAAGCTTTTGCTTTCTCATATTCAGCCCAGTCGGGTCTACAGCTTAGCCGACCCTCTCTGTCCCGTACATTGCGGGGGATTCTGAGTTTTCATTACCACAGTCAACACCGCAGCGAACATTCTCTGATAGAAATCTTTGTGCAGGCCCACTATTATTTTCTTGGTACAAATGCAGTATCTATAGTAGTATATATAAAAGCCTTAATGACCAGTAGCTATGATGCTCACTGACCAGCAGGGGGCAGATGCTCAACACACAGGCAGTGAAACATGGAACAGACTGATGAATCTCAGAGGGAAGGGCGGGCAGGTGGGGGGGAAAGAAGATGAGATTAACCAGAGATCTTATATGCACACTAGAGGCTTGGTGCCATGCACCAGTGGGGTCCTTCGGCCTGGTCTTGGGGATCAGGCTGAAACCAGCCCAGTGCACAAATCCGGATGTCGGACTGCTAAGTTTCTGCCTGATCCCCACAGGCCAGGCTGCGGGACTACACCTGTGCACAAATCTGTGCACCGGGCCTCTAGTCATTATTATAATTAACTGGGGACTAGTGCACAGATTCGTGCACATTGAAAGGAAATTAATTAGAAGGTGGCCAGCAGGGCGGGACTGGGCGAGACAGGCCAGACATGCCTTGAGCCAGCCTCCTGCAGTCCCTCCCCGGCACCTTCCTTCCGGCAGGTGGGCTCCCTCAGCCTGGCCTGCGGGGATCGGCCGAAATTGGCTCTCTGACATCCCCCGAGGGGTCCTGGGTGCGAGAGGGCCCTCTGCAAAGTTGCTGTCGTACATACAGGGTGTGGAATGCAAACGCAGGTGTGCAGTAACTAGATTCAGGGTCGACAGTGCCCCAGCAACAACATAACCCCCGGCCGAAGGTGGAATCACATGACCCGCGAGGAATCGGGCTCCCTCCTCTCTGGTTTCGGGGTGCGTCACTCAAGAACTGCCACTGCCAGGTCACTGCAGTTCTGCAGCTCCTGCATAGAGCGTCTGCCCCCTGGTGGTCAGTGTGCGCCATAGCAACTGGTCACATGGTCAGACACTTAACATATAGGCTTTTTATATATGTAGATGTTATAGGACCAGAGAGTTGACAGCTGTTGGAATCGTTTTTTAATTTATTTTTGTTTTTTTAATATATATTTTATTGATTTTTTTTTACAGAGAGGAAGAGAGAGGGATAGAGTTAGGAACATTGATGAGAGAGAATCATTGATCAGCTGCCTCTTGCACACTCCCTACTGGGGATGTGCTCGCAACCAAGGTACATGCCCTTGCCCGGAATCGAACCTGGGACCTTTCAGTCCGCAGGCTGACACTCTATCCATTGAGCCAAACCGGTTTCGGCTGTTGGACTCGTTTTTAAAAAGAAGTTTAAGGTGTGCTGGTGTACAGTCCCATCCCAGTCCTTCCCTCCGCGCCTCTGGGGGGAGAGGGGGCGCTGATGTGCCACGCCCACCGAGGAGTGGGCAGAGCTGGTCAGTCCCAGGCCCGCCCCTCCCCTCCCACAGCCGTCCAGCAGGTCCCAGAGGCTCTGGGCTGCTTTGCACTCCCCTGGCTGACTGCCCGGCACAGAGCTTGGGTGGGTGTGTCGTCTCTCTAGGACCAGGTATGACGGGCCGTGTAATGTGATTGCCACCTCAGCAACCGGGACGTCATGCCTGACTCTGAGAGGAGCGTCGTAAGCTGGCCGGGCGGACTGTGCGCTGTTAGCTAACCGCAGCCCCACTGCAGACTCCGATGCCCTCGCCTGTGTCACTGCCCTGCCACGGACGTCCTGACCTGCTTGCTCTCTTGTGTCTGTAGATCCACATCATAGACTTTGACGACGAAAACAACATCATAAACAAGAATGTCCTCCTCCACCAAGTGGGTGAAATCTGGCACATCAGTGCCAGCCCCGCAGACAAGGGCGTGCTGGCCACCTGCTACAGTAAGAGTGAGTACAGCCTCTCCCCCACCCGAGGGCGCCCTCGGGGGCTGCTGTGGTGTCGAGTGTGGTTGGTGCGTGATTCGTAGGGTCTGGCCAGCGAAGGCGCTGTGTCCACACAGGTGGCGCTCTCTGGGCCGCTGGTGCCTGGCCTGGAGCCTCGTTGTTTCTGGATCTGATCCCTCGGGGCAGGGAGGGGGGGCCTGGGTCCTGGGATGCAGGACGGCGTCCCTGCTGCCTGTGTGTGTGATAGCAGCCAGGACACGCCTGTCAGGACCTGTAACCTCTCCTCGCACACGCACTGGGGGTTCGTGTCCGGGGACCTCTCACCGGGTGCGTCTGACATGCCTCCCTAATCCTCCTTTCTCCGTCATCGCCAGCTGCTTCTCCTTCCTGTGACGTGGGCCGAGGAAAGCCTCTGGTTTGCGCGGAGTTCCTAACGTGCTTTCTTCACGTGTCCATGAGCCAGGACGCGTGTCAGCGTCCGTGGCCCTAGACAGTGTCACGCTCTGCCTCACCTTCCCGTGGGCTGGAACACGCGTGAGGTGTCTCCCTGTTGGTGTGGCTCCAGGTGCGGCTTCTAGAACCTCAGGCTGCCCTCTGCCTTCAGAGTCCGCGTGCGCCGCCTCCCGGTCCCCACGACCTGTTAGGTCCGCACGGCGCTCCGACTCCCACGTCCAGGTCCTTCTCACGGCCTCGGTGGCGCCGTGGATAAAAGCGTCCTCTGTAATACAGAGCTGATATGACCGTCCCGACGACTTTCCGATGAAGCCGGGGCTGCGAGGGCCGAGCCCCCGCACAGATTTCAGATGGCCTTTAATGGGCTGAGTTTAAAACCGTGGCCTTACCACCTTCATTTCCTTCTTTCTGATTTTGGATAATCATTTCAATGACCCTTTGGTATGGAATTAGTCTGTCCGGTTTACAGATGAGGTAGCAGAGGCTCAGAGAGGCTAAGTTACTTGGCCTGGGGCCACACAGCTTCTCAGGGGCAAAGCAGAGATACGTATCTGTGCCCGATGCTTCCTGCCTTCCTGGCCATGAACCTGGAGCAGACCACCTCGCGTTTTGGTGTCATATTAGCATTTCCACTTTTTCGGAATTAGAAATGGTTCACACCATTGCTTCTGTCTGGTGTGTGTGTGTGTCTGTTACATGTGAGCATCTGTTGTATTTACCTGTCACGGGTTGTTTGTGTGTCTGTCATGTGTATCTGTTGCATGTGTTTTGTATGTGCCTGTCTTATCTATTTGTGTCACGCGTGTCTGCCATATGTATGCTGTGTGCACATCTGTCTGCAGTGTGTGTCGTGTGTCTGTCATGTGTGCCTGTTACATGTGATTTGAGTGTGTCTGGTGTCTATGTGGTGTGGGTGCACATGTGGTGGCTGGCTGTACCCATGGCGTCTGTTGGGCAGCAGGGGGCGCTAGCGTCCTCTCTGTGGCTCTCACTCTGGTCCTTCCCCCACCCTCCCTCCGCCCGTTGGCTGTGTCCTTGGCTGATCCGTTAGCCAAGCTTGCTTGCTCTTCCCTGGCATTTCTCTAAGTATTGTCACGGACTCCAAGACCTTGTTAGAAAGCACGTGGCAATAAGGCTCACTGCTGTCCTCTCGCTGACCTGACACGGGCATGGGCATGCCTGCCTCATGGTGTGGGTGCCCGTTCCCTAAGGCACACCCAGGCCCAGGGACCCGCTCAGTCCCCGGTCCCCATGGGGCGGCAGCACGCTGGACCCCAGGCGGAGGGTGAGCTGCAACTGCCTGGCGATTCGCCTCTGCTCCCTAGGGCTCGGATCGGTCGATGGCTGTTGTGAGCACATGCTGATGAGAGGAGCCAGTACCCTCGGGCCTTGTGCAGGCAGTGAAGCCGGGCCCAGGGTAACATGTGGGCCTCCGCCCTGAAGGGTGAGGAGAGAGGATGGCCACGCTGCCGTCACCAGGAAGCTGTGGGGGTGCTCTGAGCCCACTAGCTCAGGGCCACCTTCCGCTCTCAGATTGCAGGTCACCTGGGGAGGCTCGGACCCGGTTCCTGAGACGCCCCGGGGCTCTCAGAGCAGGGCTCAGAGCACAGCAGTTCTCTCACAGGCCTCTCCCGGCGCCAGGAGAGAGAATTGGGGATAAGTGATTGAGATTCCTCTGGCGAACGGAGGCATGAGCGGCCGGGGGAGAGCTGGAGCCCACGGAGACTGCCCCGGTCTGCGGACGGCAGAAGGGAGCGCCGCGCAGCACAGCCTGCCGTCGGAGGCACACGCTGCGTCTGGTGAAACCCCTCCGTGTGCTCTGCGTATGCAGAGGGGGCAGGTGCTCAGCTGGGGAGAGGGTTTTTTCACGAGCGCTGCCAGGAAGCTAGTGCGCCTTGAAAGGGAGAAGTTGGGAAGTGATGGCGAGAGAACCTCCAGGGTCCTCAGGAGGCCCGTGCCCGTGCCACTCAGCCAGCCACGCCACACCCTCGCCTGGCCCTCCCGGCCCTCCCACACCAAGTAAATGTGTTTTAGAATAGAAACGTTTTGTGTCCACTTTAGCACTTAAATATGTGTGGGCTCTCGTTTTCCTGGGACTTACAAACCAGGCTTGATGGACTCTTCACTGGAATCGCTGCGCTAAGCAGAGGGGCGGCTGCGGGTGTCTCCCTGGAGATGGAGCCCAGAGGGACTGCGCGGAGGGCGTGTGCTGTGTGTGCTGTGTGTGTGTAGGGCATGTGCTGTGTGTGGAGGGTGTGTGCTGTGTGTGCAGTGCATGTAGAGGGCGTGTGCTGTGTGGACGGTGTGTGGAGGGTGTGTGCTGTGCATGTAGAGGGCATGTGCTGTGTGGACGGTGTGCCGTGTGTGTGGACGGTGTGTGCTGTGCGTGTGGAGGGTGTATGCTGTGTGTGCTGTGTATGCTGTGTATGTAGAGGGCATGTGCTGTGTGTGTGTGAACGGTGTGTGCTGTGTGTAGGCTGTGTGCTGTGTGTGCTTTGTGGAGGGTATGTGCTGTGTGTGCTGTGTGTGTGGACGGTGTGTGCTGTGTAGGTCATGTGCTTTGTGGACAGCATGTGCTGTATGTGTGGACGGTGTGTGCTGTGTGTAGGGCATGTGCTGTGTGGACAGCGTGTGCTGTGCGAGTGGAGGGTGTGTGCTGTGTGTGCTGTGTATGCTGTGTATGTAGAGGGCATGTGCTGTGTGTGTGGAGGGCATGTGCTGTGTGTGTGTGGACGGTGTGTGCTGTGTGTGCTATGTGGAGGGTGTGTGCTGTGTGTGCTGTGTGGACGGTGTGTGCTGTGTGTGTGGACGGTGTGTGCTGTGTGTGTGTGGACGGTGTGTGCTGTGTGTGTGTGGACGGTGTGTGCTGTGTGTGTGTGGACGGTGTGTGCTGTGTGTGCTATGTGGAGGGTGTGTGCTGTGTGTGCTGTGTGTGCTGTGTGTGTGGACGGTGTGTGCTGTGTGTAGGGCGTGTGCTGTGTGGACAGCAGTGCTGTATGTGTGGACGGTGTGTGCTGTGTGTGTTGGGTGTGTGCTCTGTGTGTGGTATGTGTTGTGTGTGTGGAGGTTGGGTGCTATGTGTGTTTTTTACATCCATTCATCCATCGATGCACACTTAGGATGTGTCTGTCTGTTGTAAACAATGCTGCCGTGAGGTGGGAGTGCAGCAGGTTAACTAGGGCCGTTAGACCCAGATATCCTGCTGCTCGGTGGTCCGTCCTGAGTGCTGGCCTTGTCCCTCTGGGCCCAGAGGCCCAGGCCTGTCTTTGTGAACATCCTGCGCCAGACGTGTGGACCTGCCCAGCCCCTCCTGAGTGTGGGCTCCTAGCAGGGCCTGGGGCCCCGTGTTGCAGACCTGTGTGGCTTTGGGTTGTGAATAGCGGAAGGAGATTCTGACCGCCAGGGGTCTGCCTGAGCACTGCCGAGTCCGCCAGCTCCTGGCGTGGGAACTGAGGGTGTGCCCCGTGAGAGCCGAGATGACAAGGGACACTGCATTGTCCTTCCAGTCATTGGGTGGAGCAGTGCTCGGGGTTCCAGGGTATAGGAAGTAACTAGTTAGCTTTTTTTTTATACTCTCCTAACTAGCTTCTTCGGATCCCTTCTGCACCATTTCTCTGTCCTCATTGACTTTCTGTGGCACCTCCAAGTGTAGTATCATCTGGAAATTTAATTAATGTGCTGTTTACTGCTCCTTCCAGATCACTAATGAAGGCGTTAAATAAGACCTGGTCCCCAGGCTCCCCGCTGGACCTCCTCACAGCTTAACATTCTGTCCTCTATCTGTGCCCTGGTGTCTGTCCTACTCCAGGTTTCCAGCCACGAGGGGGTGCTTAGGCAAAGCCCAGCCTGAGCTCATTCTTCCAGGAAGACACTAGAAAACCCTGCGCCGAGTTCCTCCCGCACCCCCAGTGCTACTGGCTGTGCTCCCCCCGCCCCCCGCCCTGGCCCAGCGATTGGCTCCCGCCCTGCTCTTGGCCGTTGCCCTCGCCCCAGGCCCAGAAGTTCTGTGTGGAGGGGCAGAGAGGAGCGCTGCCCCGGCTCTGTGAGGCCAGGACCCAGGCTCCCGGTGCTCCCTGCTTGTGGGCTGTGCACTGGGCACACAGTTGCCTGGCCTCTGCCTTCGTCGGCTGGAGTTGCATGAAAAACATTGTGGGTCGGCCGAGACCAGTTTGGCTCAATGGATAGAGCGTCGGCTTGGGGACTGAAGGGACCCAGGTTCGATTCCGGTCAAGGGCATGTACCTTGGTTGCAGGCATATCCCCAGTAGGGGGTGATCGATGACTCTCTCTCATTGATGTTTCTAGCCTTCTATCTCTCTCCCTTTCTCTCTGTACAAAATCAATAAAATATATATTAAAAAAGAAAAGAAAAAGAAAAACACCGCGGGTCGGAGTGATGCGGAAGTGTGTTTTCTCACAGTCCCGGAGCCGGGAGTCGGACACAGGGTGTTGGCAGCACTGGTATCTCTGCACCCCTCTCCTTGGCGTGTGGGCAGCCGTCTTCTCCCGTGTCCTCACGTGGCCTTACCTCTGTGTCCTGATCTCTCCTCC